GACCTCCCTCCCTCCCTCTCTGACCTCCCGACCTCCCTCCCTCCCTCCCTCCCTCCCTCTCTTACCTCCGGACCTCCCTCCCTCCCTCTCTGACCTCCTTCATCTCAGTGCACTGGTTTGCCTTTGGTCAATGATTGGCCTGTTACAGGGCTATATGCTGTTTCCGCTGGCTGGATGGTGCTACATGAAATCAATTTGGACAGTGACCAGCTCCTAATGACACGGGCCAGCTATAAAGCTGTCTCTAATTGGTCAGTATTTGCCATCTTATTCAGCTATTTCAAAGGGCAGTTGGTGGCTGAAAAGGCTTTGGTGTAAGGGGTTGGAGCTGAGGAACTTTGGCATAGTGTACTCAACACTTTTTTCTGCTTCCAAATGTGAAAGGAAGCTGAGCTAGAAGTGCTTAATGTGGTGGCATTGGCTGCTTAAGATGCAGATTGCTCCATTTCCCAATTCACACAGTTCTTACATTGATTCTGACGGTTATGGGCTTGCATCTAACTCAAGAGTCTGGAACACAAGTCAAAGTAGCACTGAGCAAGCTCTGCGCCATTGAAAGGTGCCTCTTTCAGATGATTCATTTACTCAAGGCCAGCTCTCTCCTTCAGGTGAACTATAAAACTCCAATTGCATGATTTGAAGAAGTGAAGGGCTATTTTCTCACTGGAGTCCTGGCCAATATTAATCTCTCTATATACCATTGCTGCTTATAGGAGCTAGCTGTATTCAAATTGGCCGCTATGTTTCCTGAATTGAAATAGTGACAACATATCCAAAGTCTGTAAAGTGCTTAGCACTTTTCCAGACTTCAGAATGACCATATGTAAATGTAACTACTTGCACCTTTTCACTTTGAGAACAAATTACCCAAAAATCAATAGGATCTTGTTGTGAGGTTGTTGACTTGCTCACCGAGCTGGCTTGTTTTCATTCAGATGTTTTGTCACCATGCTAGGTGACATCGTCAGTGGAGCCTCCGATGAAGTGGAGTTATTCTACTCCGCTTGGAATTTATACTGTCTGGTCCGTTATGGTGAGCAGTGTCATTTCCGGATTTGATCTGTGTGGGTTTGTGTACGGGGACCAATTCTATATGTTTGTTGATTGCATTACAGGTGGAGAACCATGCCTCTAGGAATTCCGGTGCGTGTCTATGTTTGGCTTGGGCTACTATGCTATCCTTGTCCCAGTTAAACTAATGGCCTTCATTGTCTGAATGCACCGTTATTAAGGAGAGTTTGTCATGCTGTTTTGCTGCTAGCTGATGTTCATGTATTTTGACGGACAGACAGACAAGAAGGAAACTAGCCATCAGAGTATATGAACATCAGCTAGCAGCAAAACAGCACGATGAACTCTCCTTAATATCTGTACACTCAGACAATGAAGGCCATCAGTTTAACTGGGACAAGGTAACCATAGTAGCCAAAGTCAAACATAGACACACACGGGAATTCCTAGAGGCCTGGTTCTCCACGTGTAATGCAATCAACAAACATATAGAATTGGACTCCGTATACAAACCAATACAGATCAAAATGGGAAACGACACTACTCACCATAACGGACTGGTCAGTATAAATTCCAAGCGGAGTAGAATAACATCGCTTCATCGGAGGCTCCACTGATGATGTCACCTAGCATGGTGATGAAACATCTGAACAAAAACAAGCCAGCTCGGAGAGCAAATCAACAACCTCATCCACAACCTGAGCTACAGATCTTTGACAAAACTTTAGGATCTTGTTGTGCCCCTCTTGAAGTGGCTGTCAGGCCCGAACTCGTTCTCAGGTAGTGAAGTGTTTGAATTTACAATATAAAACTGTTCTCTCCTTTCCCTCTGACCTGTAGCTTTCTGAAGAGCTGGCCATCATATGACAGTTTGTTTGACCTCCCTGACTTCTTGAACCATGATCCTTCCTTCAGTCAAAACAAAATTCTGAAACGGAAGAAAGCTTTGCGCAAACAAGGGATCAAGTCATGCTCATCATTGGATGAAGATCCCCTTTCCCTTTCCATCGCAGACTCCTATGATAGCTGGAGTTTGAAACATAATCAGCTGACAACATCAGGTAAGTAAGGGAAAGACTTCCTCAATCAACTGGGTTTGTTGTATTGGCTGTGATGACACAGGAATCTGAATCTCGGAAGGTTAGTATGCAGGTACAGCAAGTCATCAGGAAGGGAACTGAATGCAGAGGTGGGGAAGTTATGCTTCAATTATACAGTGAGAATGCATCCAAAGTACTCTTTACTGTACTGGTCACTGTACTTATGGAAAGATGTTAATGTGTTGGAAGCAGTTCAGAGAAGATTTACTAGACTTATTCCTGGATTTTAATGGATTGCCTCATGAGGAAAGGCTGGCCAAGTTAGGCTTGTATCCTCTGGAGTTTAGAAGAGTCAGAGGTGACTTACTGTAAATGTAAGATGTTAAGACTTGACTGGAAGAATGTCGAAAGGACTTTTTTCTTCTTGTGGGAGAATCTAGAACGAGGGATCATGGTTTAAAAATAAAGGGTAACCCATTTAAAATAGTGATGTAGAAACATTTCTTTTGTGTCAGAGTGTTGTAAATCTTTGGAATTCCTCTCCTCAAAAAGCATTGGATGCCAAATCTTTAAATATTTTTAAAGCAGAGGTAGATTCCTAACGACCAAGGGATGAAAGATTATCAGGGATATGCAGGAACATAGACTTGAGGTTAAAATCAGATCAACCACAATCTTATTAAATGGCAGAGCAAGATCGAAGGGCCAAGTGACCTACCTCTTGTTCCTTGTTTGTATGTTGGGAAACTGAGTTGCTAAAACTCATCAAAGTTCTTATTGTTGGGCAGGCTGCTGCTGATACACCAGAATACTAGACTGCTCTGATACTTCACTCTCGTACTGAGACCATATTCTCTAAGTTGTACTGTATAACGGGACTCAGCAGTCTACGTGGAATCAAAGCGATAACAAGGTGTAGAGCTGGATGAACACAGCAGGCCAGCAGCATCA